TATGTTGTTTTAATATTTATATTTTAGAGATAGGAATATTAAAGTTCGTCTATGCTATATAGTTAAATAATAAATGAAAAATGTTTAAAAAAATATATTGGAGCTTTTATTATTGTAAGTTATATTAATAATACGTATTATAATCAGTTTAATCAGTCAGTACAGTCTGAATATCTAATATTAATCGTATTTGTATTTTACTTATTACTACATGTTAATGATTTATGGCATCTAGAGTTACACAAAACTTTGGCTTTTTTGCAATTACACCTGTTACTTACACATTGTTTATTTTTAAAGTCTTTGCAATTGCATTGTTTTATTCCTTGCCCACCGAATGACGAACATTTAGCTGCTATGGTTCTCAATGGCAATGTTATCTGTAAGAAAGAAAATGATTTCAAATGAAACAACAAACTCAAAAAGTCAGAGTTGAATTTTTGTCTTGAATTTCTGGTATTGAAAATAACTACTACATAATATTCTTACCTGTGGAATATCACCAGATATAACCGTATTTGGTGAAGAGAGGACAGCGTTTCTTGGAATCCAGTCACTAATAATTCCAAAAGGAGTGCCAACTCTGAACAGTTCATTTCTTTTTTCTAAAATTTTGCCTACTATATTTTTGCTGTCCAGAGGCCCCCTGTCTACTTTAGGCACTTCAACAAGCACTGTAGTTCCTATATCAATATCTTTAAAAGACAATGCCGGAAATTGGCGTCTTTTTTTTTTCGCGCGGCCATCGACCAAACTTTGTTTTTTGATTACAAAATAGTGTAATAAACCAAACTTACTATGACATGTATACCTCTAAACTCAGTCTGAACTGAGTTACGAGCATTAGAAGTTTGATGATTTTCATACTAGATTTGCTTTTTGCGCGCAAAGTTTTGTAAGAAATTGCAACAAAATAGTGAAATTGTATGTGTAAACAAACAATACCATCCATTGAAGGCTCCAGACATCAGTTTCAGTATGGAGCAGAATCAGCGCAATAAAAAAATAGCGCAATATTTTGTTGCAATTTCTTACAAAACTTGCGCGCAAAAAGCAAATCTAGTATGTAAATCATCAAACTTCTAACGCTCGTAACTCAGTTCAGACTGAGTTTAGAGGTATACATGTCATAGTAAGTTTGGTTTATTACACTATTTTGTAATCAAAAAATAAAGTTTGGTCGATGGCCGCGCGAAAAAAAAAAGACGCCACCTTCCATACAAAATCTGGCATTGCCATTTCTTAGACGACAAAGCTATCATTTTGTCTGCGGCTCTTTTTAAATTTTGGTGTGATTCTCTTCTCTCTCGCGAAATGCTATTTTCATTTGCACACAAATTGCAGATCAGTTGCCAGCTACTACCTTCGTCTTCACTCGACACTCCACACATTACATGAATCATGCCATTACATCTTTGACATCTAATTGTTCCCGATGTTTCTAGATTACAAATGTGGCATAACGAAGTACTTGGGTTTTCAGCTATTTCAGTAGAAATTATGTCACAGTCGTTTGGAATAGTGATTTCACTGTCAACAACCGGTATTTCTTCTTTTTCATTTGTCTTGGATATGTTTATATTAGTGTTTGATATTGTTATTTCTTCAGTAATTACAGAAGTATTAAGTGTATCATGAATAGAAACTATGGCTTGGTCTAAAATTATGATCTCGCTGTTGCCGGTGGGGATGGGTGCATTTTCAGACTCATTCATTTTCTCTGGATGAATGTCATTAATTGTTGTGTGTGTATTTAGTGGCAAATTAAAGTTGCTTGATGCTTGTATCTCATTATCGTCTTTGGCAACTTCTTCTTGTTTATCAGTCTTACGTGTATCAAGATTGTGTAAATTGTCATTTTCTTTGTTAGCGCCCTCTAAAAATCTCTCTAGGTCCTCTTCAGTTTCCAGTTTAGTTATTATGTTTTTAGATAAATGAGTGGAAGTAAGACCACTTCTTGGGTCATCCCCAAACAAGGCTTTGAACGGTGTTCTCTGAATAGTCGAATGAAATGACGAATTTTTGTGAAATTGAGCAAAGTAACACCCTATCGACCAGTTGGTAGAATTGTTATCTACCATCCATGCCCGTATCATATTTTTCACGTCCTGATTTGAGCGTTCTATACTTCCTTGGCTTTGCGGGTATCTCGGTCTCCCATTAATAATTTTACACGATGGCCATAAACTTACAATTTCTTTTAACACCGCTGCTGTAAACTCACGCCCGTTATCGCTCTGGAGGATATTGGGGCAGCCAACTTCCAAAAATATTTTGAGTATCTCGATCGCTACTTCTTTCGCTTCTTTAATTTTTAAAGGTCGCAAAAAACAAAATTTGGTCAAATGGTCTTGGTATTGCAAAAGCCATTTGTAATCATTATCAGGCGAGGATTGAAAGTCTACAAGGTCGACTTGTCCTCTCCTATTAAAGTCGTCAGAAATCAATGGTTTTACGACTATGCCACGCTTGGGAAAACTTTTCTTCGAAAGACATGTTTTACACAGCTTAAGAAAAATATTAATGGCCCATATTGGTACTAAATACTTATCTTTCAGGGCATAAATAATTTTGTCCCGCCGTCCATGACCAGTCTCAACGTGGGCATCATGTATTCGCTGGTAGAATTCAGCGCTAGGAACAATCCGTATCGTTGGATCAGAATGGGATTTTCTTTTTAATATTAAAACTTTTTCGTCACCAATATTCATTATATCATATTTTTTTGCATTATAATATTGCTTATCAGATGGTCGCTTACCTAAAGTTTTAGCAAGATTGTATTCTTCTATCATTTGAATAACATTTTGGATTTTATCACTTGTCCACTGAGTTTTTTTATTTTCTGTACTTAGCCCACTGTAGTACTTTTGTAACTCTGCATCAAAGTGTTCTCGATCGACAAAACTAGTATTGCCCACTGATTGTTCGTTTATTTCTACCACTACAGACTCCATTTCACTCACCATAAATAAAATGACGCGTTATAATGATAATTATTACCAAACAAAACAACAATTGCTAATTTTACTACTGTAAATAAAGAAAAACAAGTACGGACTAGATAGATTTGTTTACGTTTACGCCGGTAATGGCGGCGGCCGGGTGGCGGGGGGCGGTGTAAAAGCACGTGAGTCTTTTAGCCAATCAACGTTCACCTCGCCTTTGTCGTATGATTTAACGGCAAGACGCCGTAAATTAATCAACTTACTAAAATATATGCGTTAAATAGTACATTTCAAATGCCGTTTATTATTTTCCGAGAGTTGATCAACTACCTAGAAAATTGATCAACTTACGAGTCTTGTTATTTTCCGGTGACATATGCACCTCCAAGGAGTAGCCTTGGCTCGATGCATATCAACCAAAATCACCTACATGCAACCCCAGAGAGTGGCCCTGGCAGGGTACATGCAGTGACCGGTTCACATTTATCCAGTATAATAAACTCATTAAGTGGGTAGGAAGAGGAAAGATATAGGAAGCTTATTATATCAAGTTAGGTATATGCATCCCCAAGGAGTAGCCTTGGCTCGGTGCATATCAACCAAAGTCACCTACATGCAACCCCAGAGAGTAGCCCTGGCAGGGTACATGCAGTGATCGGTTCACATTTATCCAGTATAATAAACTCATTAAGTGGGTAGGAAGAGGAAAGATATAGGAAGCTTATATCAAGTTAGGTATATGTATACATCCCCAAGGAGTAGCCTTGGCTAGATGCATACCAACCAAAATCTCCTACATGCAACCCCAGAGAGTGGCCCTGGCAGGTTACTTGCAGTGATTGGTTCATTATCGATATAATTAACATGATAAGAAGGTAGGAAAAGAGAAAATCCCATCAAAAACAATACTTGTCAAAAAAACCAAGTCTCGCAACTCAGTTGTTCTACGGTAAAAAGTTGTGAGATCCATGTAATACCAAGTCCAGGCCAGGAAATCTTTAACGTTTTACATAAATTATTGACTTGGCCATCGCACTAAATAATTTAATTTACACGTGTTTTCATACTTTTCATACGATGGCCAAGTCAATATATTTATGTAAAACGTTAAAGATTTCCTGGCCTGGACTTGGTATTACATGGATCTCACAACTTTTTACCGTAGAACAACTNTTTTTAAACGTCATTAGTGTCATTTTAGCGAATTTTAGTGATTGCCGCAACGTAAAAGTAATCGTATCATCGTACTGCATTCGCAAAGTCATCGAAAGAAATCGTGTGACTCGATTCGAAAATTAATTAATTCCGATAAAACTGATATTTTGTTAAATTTATAGCTAGTCTGACTGTGGATTAAAATAATTTTGTAGCGGTAGACGTTATTCTATATTATACATTTTTTTATTAATTTGCAAATAATATTAAAAACAATCCTACTTTATAATTCTTCTACTGCTACTTTATTCTAATTAATTATTTGTTACTTGTGCTGTTATTTACAATTCTCAATCAGTAAATAATTTCTTCTTTCTACCGTGTTCGTACTACTGTCCTCGTAAAATCATCGTAACCGATTATTGCAATCGGATTACATGAACATCACTCGACCATGTATGTCCATTTGGACATATCGGAATGACACGCTTTGAGGTGCAACTTGCTGTATCTACTCTAATCCATATCTGTGCCTTTGCCATTAGCCTTGAGAATCTAGAATAAAGACCGAGTCAGACGACACTTTTTGCGTTCCATAGTAAGTAGTTGTCGTCGCTGCATTGTTTGTAACATGATGGTCGAAAGAAGAGTGTTGGAGTAAAAACTGAGTCGTCTAAGTCACGCAGTTTCTGAAGCGACAGGTAAACACTAGACATCTTATCCGATTGTAATAAGAGCTATTTTTAGACTCACTGGTGATCTCAATGTCTTTGACGAGCCTCAGGAATAGCGGACGAGCGTATGAAGGCAGCGAGTCGTCTAGTAGATCACGGGCCAGTTGTTGCAGCGAGAGCGAGCGAGACTCGTCCGCAATAATACACTTTTGGCCTTTGTAATAAGTGCTATTTTATACTCACTGGTGATCTCGATGTCCTTGACGAGTCTCAAGAACAGCGGGCGCGCGTAAGACGGCAGTGAGTCGTCGAGATCACGGGCCAGCTGTTGCAGTGAGAGCGAGCGAGACTCGTCCGCAATAATACACTTATGGCCTTTGTAATAAGTGCTATTTTATACTCACTGGTGATCTCAATGTCTTTGACGAGCCTCAGGAATAGCGGACGAGCGTATGAAGGCAGCGAGTCGTCGAGATCACGGGCCAGTTGTTGCAGTGAGAGCGAGCGAGACGCATCTGCGATGGCCGCCATGCCAGCGCGGCCTTCTGTTTGAGGGATCTGGAAGGTAAGATAAAATGTGCTTTATTACATTAGATATACATATGAATCAAATCAATTGACAGCTACGGTTTACATAGCAATGGGCATTCTAACCCAAAGGAGGTTACATGTTTCTAGATAGGGTCCCTCGTGTGCCCTACGAAGCTGCCCTCCCCTGCACCTCTCGCTCGGTACCCCCATAAGGTATTCTGACATTAAAATTAGATTTCAGGATCAATGCATATAACATGGCCTTCATATTTCAAGTTATGTAATATGCTAATTGACCCATTCATTCAGCATATGAATTTCGGCTTATAACCGTCATCTTAAAAATGACAGATGTCAATCCGGAGTGAGACATTTGAATAGCGTTGCTAATGCAAAATATAGATAGATTGACCAATCTTTTAAAAACAAAAAGTATACTCACAGACACGCCATAGACGACGCACGCCTTCTGCCCCAGAACAGGGTCCATAGCGTCTTCCACTTCAGCTGTCGCGACATTTTCCCCCTTCCAGCGGTAGGTGTCGCCCGTGCGGTCGCGGAAGAACAGGTAGCCAAGTTCGTCGGCTACCAAGATGTCGCCCTTTTATCGAGGCTACGTTCTCGGATCTAATTAAAGAAGCAATACTTACAGACACGCCATAGACGACGCACGCTTTCTGCCCCAGAACAGGGTCCATAGCGTCTTCCACTTCAGCCGTGGCGACGTTTTCTCCCTTCCAGCGGTAGGTGTCGCCCGTGCGGTCGCGGAAGAACAGGTAGCCTAACTCATCGGCTACCAAGATGTCGCCACTCACGAAGGCCGCGTCGCCCTTTTGGAATACATCCCGGACGAGCTTCTTGTTGCTGTCGGTCTGGAATGTTTAGTTGAAAATTGAATATGCTGTGTAACTTACATAATGTGACAAGTAGGACAAAAAAAGTTATACGAAATTGTCACGCATAATAAAAAAAGTAAAAAGTATTTATTTGCCATAAAGGGTATACAGTCTGCTTATCTAGCGGCTGCTGCACTAAGCTGAGCTTGTGTCGTGGCAGCCATTTAAGTAACTCAGGATTAATAATAATACCTATTGCTAAAAATATGCGTAACAGCAATTTTGCTGTCGTGGTTTATTGAGAGTTACCTTGTCGACGTATCCGTGGTACTCCCTGGAAGCGTTGCCTTGCGCAATGAGACCGATGAACATCCCCGGCTCATCTGAAATTTAAAAAAAATGATATTATTAACGGCCACAGTTACTGTGTAGAGAATAACATTATGGAGAAGTTTGTATTTGAAGGTAGTTTCGAAGGAACTCCTTAAAAGATGTGCAATGCCTGCAATGGGTACAAGTGGAAGACCTGACTCGCTTATGCGTTTATGAGGTAAGTGAGCGGATATTTGACACGGTTATTTATTAACCTGGTTAGTTTATGTTAATTCTGTGTCAGTCTTATTTGTGTCAAGTTTTTCTTTTCTTTTTTTCTTTATTTGTGTTACTTATGTTTACACCCAATGGAGAAGCGCATGAACAAACTTGGCTTGGGCTTTATTTATTTATTTATTTATTAATTATTATACCATGCTTATACCATGCCGTAAGTATGGTGAAATACAGATTGCTGGAAACGGGATATACGCCCGTATTCACAAACGATGCTTGCTTAAGTGAAGCAGCAAATCGAACGCACAGTGTTGAATAGAGCTCTTAATTGGTTAATATGTCACCCTGTGTGTTCATGCGCACTGTGAAACCTCATAGTAATGTTTGTGAATACGGGTGATAGACTAATCACTGGGCATGCACTTGAACAAGCCGCACTTGGACTGCTGTATGGAGAGAACCTTCAAGACTGCTGAAAACTGTATGGTACTCACTGGGCAGGCAACGGATGCAGAGCCCGTCAGGCCCTCGCAGCAGGCCGCCGTGTTCATCTGCCTTCACCAGCGCGATGGGGTGCAGGCACGTCGGCACCAGCTTCGGCAGGAAGCCCACCGCGCCCAGTGTGTTGTCCACGTTTACTGGTACATGATAAAGGCATATTAAGGCGGGTCCAGACATGTATCATTTGCCCGATCCGATCACCGTATCCGTATCGTCGACGCGTATCATGATCGCATATGTGGACGGGTATTGAGTACTCGATAACCCGCCTTTAGGTGTTTAATTTGTCGGCCGTTTGGTGTAGTGGTTCAGAACGGACTGCTATGCCTAGAGGTCCCGGGTTCGACTCCCGGCTGGGCAGAAATTGAAATGATGAATTTTAATTTCTGTGACGGGTCTGGGTGTTACTGTGTATAATATTTATGTATTTACAAAAAAAAAGTATTTATGTATGTTTATATCCGTTGTCGCGTTTTCTGGTAAAGGTCGCGGGAAGAGCCTGGATGCGGGCAGCGCAGGGCCGTTCATTGTGGAAAACCTTGGGGGAGGCCTTTGTCCAGCAGTGGACGTCATTTGGCTGAAACGAAGACGAACGAACGAGAACGATATCCGTTGTCTAGTACCCATAGTACACGCTTTGCTTAGTTTGGGACTAGAGGCGCAGTGTAAAATGTCCAAGGATATTTATTTATTATTTATTTAATTTGCTTTAAAAAAAGGTCTTTAAAATCTTTATTTATACAAACACAAAAAAGGCGAACTTAATTAGTGGGTATAGCTTTTAAAGTTGCTGTGTCCTTAGGGCCTATGTTGACAAACTGGTTTCTACCCGGTCCAACAACAACTGTGTAGAAAGTGGTTCGTCAACACACGCAACTGACTCCACATTGTGAAACTGTAAATTGTAAGGCATAATGTGAATACGCTAGTAGCTAGTGGTAAATTATTGAATATCGAGGACTCCACTACCATGTTTATTGACACAAACGATTGACTTGGTGTAGAACCGTATCAATAAGGGGCCTTTAATGGCCTGTTTGCAACGACATTTTTAGATGCCCTGTTTGAAATTTCCTTTTTAAATGCCCTGTTTGATAACCACTTTTTTATTCAATTCACTATAAAAAAAGTTAAATGCATCGGTGTCTTTCCGATGATGCAAAGTCAAAATATTGCAGTAATAACGTATGTTGTAGGTACTTATGTGTATTTATTTACCACTGTGTCTCATAAATCAGTGTCAAGGGCGTATAGATTAGTAAAGGATAATTTTATGTTTTGAGAGTTCAGTTTGATTAATTTACTAAATATCCTTTATGTCTTTAAATTTAATGAAACTTATGTATTAAATATTAGTATTTAGGTAATCATAACAGGACCAGACTATTTATCATATTATACGTAATTGCTATTTTTATTCCAAAAGCTGCGCAATTAGATAAATTATCATAAAATTGTTAATGCGTCGTACCTACTTATATGAAAAATGCAAAAACAAATGAGGTCGTTGCCTTACTATCTGAAAGATGTCCGTTGTAAAAAAACAAGGTTAAAGTTTCATTTTAAAGTAAACGTAAACAACGTTAGACAAAGTCCACGAATTATCGGGAGAGAAAATGATAAATGTTATTGTCGTGTTATTGTTATTGTGATGACTATACTGTCCTAAATGTACTCAAGTTATTTACTCACTTATATTGGCGTTGCCCTCCGTCGCTCCGTAGATTTCGTTTATCTGCGGTACTTTGAACCTAGAATAAACAATGTTTTATTATTATATTTACTAACAAAGACTGACTAAATACCTGCTGGTCTGGGGTGGATCTAACAAGTGAGAACTGAGATGCCAGTCAGATGCAGTGAGATCGAAAATTCAGAATGAATGGGTGCGTTTGGAATAAAGTGCTTGGAAGCGCTGTAAGCAAAATGACGATCGCTAAGCGGTAAGCGCTGTCACTGCTAACTATGAATGAAACACGTCACTATTGAAGTTAGCAAACGTGTCCTCACCGACAACAGTTTCGTTTCTCAGCGCTAGCAAGCGCTTCCAGACACTTTTTTCCGCCAAATGAATGAAAGAATGAATCTTATCTTATCTTATTTAGGGGCGCAGAGCACGTCGACCCATTGGGATCTTTTGTGCTTCCCTATACCTTTATCCCCCCTCATCTGCAAAGATCCTATCCATATAGTGAATCAAGTTCTTGGGTGAGAAGGACCTATATTCTTCTGGTGTCGGATAAGCCGACCCCAGGAGACCCATTCTAGTTCTAGCTAGCGCGTCGCATTCGCACAGTAGGTGTTTCATGGACTCCGCATGTTCTCCACATGCTCGACAGCCGTCATCCGTAGTTAGGCCCATTTTGTAGAGCATGTGGTTTGTAGTGTAGTGTCTTAGCGCACCCGTGATCACTCGGGCTTGCCTTCTGTTTCCATTGAGTATGAGCTTTTCCCATGATCGATCGAAAGAATGAAGGTGTTACCTGTCAACGATCTGCTGCCAGATGGCGGGACGCATGCCGTTGCCGACCATGATGCGCACGCGGTGCTGTGCGTCCGTGTCGCGCGCCGGTTGCGCCAGCAGGTAGCGGCACATCTCGCCGATGTATTGAGCCACCTGGGGGAAGAGGTTTACCATTTGTCATCAGATTGGAGCATTATCATCTTTATCAGGTTATTTTGGGAGACAACAGTTACCATCATCATTATCATCAACTTAAAGCTGTCAACTGCTAGACATAACGTCCCTTAGCTAACAACACCGCCTAAGTCGATTTTTGGCGGTTTTGACATTTTAATGCCATTGGATAGATCTGCTCATCGCGCGTCTAACCATTAGTCATNTGTCTAGTCTCAAGCGCCCCTAGTGTCTAGTCTCAAGCGCCCCTAGTGTCTAGTCTCAAGCGCCCCTAGTGTCTATTCTCAAGTGCCCCTAGTGTCTAGTCTCATGCGCCCCTAGTGTCTAGTCTCAAGCGCCCCTAGTGTCTAGTCTCCTGCGCCCCTAGTGTCGCGCCCCTTGTGTCNACATCAACGTTACCTGCTCGAGCAGCGAGGAGAGCTTGGCGGCGGCGTCGGCCACCTGCGCCAGGTCCATGGCGGGCTGCACCTGCCGCGAGCGCCCGCCGCCGCCCATCGTCTTCTGGCACAGGTTCAGCCCCACGATCTGGAAGGTTACCGTACGGTGTTAAGGCTTGTTAAGGCAGATTGAAACCTCTTTCAAATTAAGGGATCTAATAAGAATTAGTAACGATTACTGAATAAGTCTTTTCTAGTATATCCTACACTTATTAAATACTCAATACTCAAATCTGGTGGTCAAATAGATGGTGGTGTGCTCATAACTATACTAGGGTATAATATAATCCAAAGATATTGAAACGGCAAAAATCAAAAACTAACAAGCATTGATAGTTAGGCTGGTTTTAGTGTCATGCGGACTGTCAACTGCTAGGGAGCGGAGCGGTTCCTCCGGACCGCATTACTCTAAAACACTCCCTAGAAGTTCATACAGATTGGCCGTGCGGAGCGGGTCCGCACCGGACGGTCCGCGTGACACTAAAACCAGCCTCAGTAGCGCCCTCCTGACAATGTCAAGCTGGGACGGTTCAGTGTAGGTCATCTATAGCTGTAATATTATGTATGCACCAATCCAAACTTCTTTGACTGAATATCTCGGCTGGTGTCCGCGCCCTGTGACGTCACCCACCTCGGGCTCGTAGCTGGTGAGCGAGACGTCGATGGGCGTGAACATGCAGCCCTGCTTGCCGCGCGGCACGCCCAGCGCCACGCACACGTAGGCTGGTGTCCGCGACCTGTGACGTCACCCACCTCGGGCTCGTAGCTGGTGAGCGAGACGTCGATGGGCGTGAACATGCAGCCCTGCTTGCCGCGCGGCACGCCCAGCGCCACGCACACGTAGGCTGGTGTCCGCGACCTGTGACGTCACCCACCTCGGGCTCGTAGCTGGTGAGCGAGACGTCGATGGGCGTGAACATGCAGCCCTGCTTGCCGCGCGGCACGCCCAGCGCCACGCACACGTAGGCCCGCAGCCCCATGCGCGCGCCGCTCAGGCTGGTGTCCAGCGTCACGTGCACGGGCTCGCGGCACTCGCGCGAGTAGTACTCGTGGATCACCGACGAGTGGTTCGTCACCTCGTTGCCCGTCGCCCACCAGCCTGGGAGAGAGCAGATGTGAAAATATAGTGCATCCAAAACTGAACATCATGTTTGTGGAGCAACAGCCGATAGTAAATGTATTTGCCAAATGATTTTATTTATTTATCTAGCTAGCATAACCAGCCTCAAATTGGCGATGAAAGGGAGAAATAACATAGGTACACTTGTGTTAGATTGAGGGAGATAGGCAAGACCATTTTTCATACATGCTAGCAGCCTGTAACAGCCCAACGACAGTTAATAACAAACAAATCTTGCTATTTATATGAAATCTCACTTTAATTTGTCGGTGTTAATAGACACAAACAAATGTGGGTACAGCACCTTGTTGTAATAAATCTATAAATAAAAGAAATACACTCACTCACACTTACTACTGCACTTATTTTTTAGTGCCCTACTGCCAATTCTATGCTCAATTATAAATGTTAAGGATGGAATATCAGAGAGCAGGTAAATTCAAATTCAATAATTTATTTGCTAGAATACATACATACATAAATGAAGAATACACATTAAAGAATACAAATAAGAATAATAATGATCTGTGCACAACTTTGAAAATATGGTACTCACCAACAATACTTTCTGAAGCATTTACCCTTCGGTTGAGCTCATATACATCCATGGCATAGTTGAGCTCGGCTTCAACTTGGTCGGCATGTTCCTTGTGAGGCACGCAGAAGCAGTTGGTCACTTCCACCACCCCCTTGTCTGACGTCCCTACAACCAAAACATAACCTCTCTACACACATGTAAAACCTCTTTAAATAGCTTCTACAGACTTAGAAACAGCTTGATTTGGATAAATACAAGCGTCATTAGCTAGTTGGAACATAAATTCACATAATAACTCAGGAATCAAAAGAAAATTTTTAAGAATATCCACATGACGTCGGCATGAAAATGAAAGTATGTTCCCCAAAGTTCAAAGTATGTGGTATTATTTATTAGCTTACCCAATAAGGTACCGATAACTCGATGGGAATCTGCATTTCGACGCTCGTAAGCATCCACAATTTGAAATAAAACAACAGGATGAACCTTGACAACTAGATTGAGCGCCATTTTGGTTTTGAAAGGACTCAGTGAGTGATGGGAAAAAGTGTGAAGTCAAAACGTTCGATAAAATAACAGATAACGTTATTAAACTTGTTTGTTGATTTTTTTAAAACCATAATTTTTACCCCTCATATAACTTAATTTGGTAATCTGCACAAGTTTCCGCTATCATTAAGTCAGATCTCCGGTGCGTGTTTTGCTTTATACAACAAAAACATTTCAACAATCAACAAATTGCCCACAAAAAAAATTGGATGTGACGTTTTTGTTGATTGTGTAGAGGACTTACGATTAATAAAGCCAAACATGGAGCACGTATTAATGAGCAAAACATGCGCCGCGCTTATTAAGATCATTATTTGACAAAGATCGATAATTTCTTTTAACATGCAAATACTACTACATTACCGGTATTACCACGTTATTACCCAAATACTTGTATTACATTTTTTATATAAAAAAACCTAAAATACATGTTTTGCGGCAATCGAATCTGCGACCTCTGGCTTATTTCTTTCGCACAATCATGTAATCCGATGCCTATCTACGCCAATCTACGCAAACCACTAGGCTAGACGGACGAACAATATACCGATACCGTTATTTTAACGACAGCCACCATGCATACAGAGAAATCTTGAGTTCGATTCCTAGGGAGGTAAAATGTTACTAACATACTTGGTTAACTAAAATATTTAGACCAAACATGGTTGATGTCTATAAAATTGAACAAAATTTAAATTAAACAATTGTTTATTAACAATTTAAAGATAACACAACAGAAAACAAAATACATCATATTATTTATTTATCACTACGCCAGCTAAACCTAGTAGGGTAAAGGTAATTAAAATACCTTTTCTATGCTATATTTACAATTTGTTTCTACTTAAATCATCATTTTTCTTCCTTTGGTGTTGGAGTGGTGTGGATACGGATTCCATGCATCTCTGCAATTTCACTCTTCAATGTATCAGTAACAAGACGATGTTGTTTCACAGTAGACAGACCTACAAATTCTTTAGCTTCAACGCTGACCTGTAAATACAGAACATTTTTAAAATTTGTTTCTTTGGTAACATACAAGTGTATAACTTTTAACACTTTCCTGGACAGTGAACTGCTATGGCAGTCATAACAATTAAACTTGTATTGTGTCTCGGTTACTGTCCAGGAAAATGTTAAAGGGGGGAAGCTTTAGCTTTGATAGTAAAACTACTTCTCGTTGGTCCACTAAAGTTACATTGCTCATTAGGCATTGGAAGTAGCACATACCTCAAACATGGCACCGCAGCCCCCTGAGATATCCTGCACGCTCAAGTACGTGATGCCGGGCATGGAGCGCTTCAGCGTGTCGGACAACTGCTGTTCCTTGGTTGCGCGGTTGCGATCAAACGCGGTACCGCCGCCCGCCTCGCCTCCGCTGGAACCGGCCACCGCACGGGACTTGAACCAAAACACATTTTTGAACCAAACATTTAAGTGACTGAAAAATAATAAAGGTTTCCAATTTAATACTTACCAATCTTTTCTTCACCGGTTCTAGCGCACGGATGAACTGCCGAAACATTTTGCAATGTGAAATTAATTTACACACCTTTCAAGGAAAAATTTGTTGAAGAAAAATAATTTTCAAAACATTATCTAATGTCTAAATTTTGAAGCTTATTATTTGATCGATAACATAATTCTAATAAAATTTATTTTAACACTTTTACAAATTTTACATAACCTCAAATTAGCAAATTGACATCCACCAACCAAAATAAAAAACGTTTCGTTTCATCATTCATATTAACTATTGCCAATATTATTAACCAGTTTCATGGATCTTTTCCTTTGCTCGTAAACTAAAAAAGTTCAATACTTCAATTTTCTGTCACTTTGACATTGACAGATGGTCGATTGTTGCATCGTGATCAACACGTGCGTTTGTGTATTTTTTAAATAAAATGCTAGATAATTAAGTTAAAATGCCACCATTTCGTGCAGGATTATTAAAAAGAAAGATTACTTCTGAAACCTCAAAGAAGTCCACAGCCAAAGATGACAAGGTTAGTACGTAAACAAGGCGTAAACATTTTTTTTATTGAACGTGGTATTAAATTATTTTTATAAATTTACTGTGCTAAATTATGGTTTTAGGACTCTAGTTCATTCGATGATAGTGAAGAGCTGATACGAGGTGACCTAGATGATGCGGCAGACGCAACAGATTCCGAACGAGAGGATCAAGACGAAGCCGGCTCAGACCATGAAACAGAAGTAACATCAAAATCTTTTATTTTTGAGCCATTATCGAAAAATCTATTGAGTTTTAAGACTCCCATGAGTATTTTAGAAGCCTCAAAGGGCTTATAAAATAACTTATCAAATGAGAATGTCAGTGAATGTTATTTTTCAATAGCAACCAAAATGTAAATCTTATGTTTTAGGGTGTAATGTTCGGAGATGATGCAGATTCGACTTTAGGCGATGAAGATGATGCTGAAGGATCAGATGAATCTTCAGTAAGTTACATAAGTATACAAACATTACTTATTTTATTTGGTTAAATGCTAGATTTTATGCAGTTTTATTTATTTTAGGAACTAACGGATTCAGAAGCAGATGATGAGTCAGAGGAAAACGACGATGATGATGATGACGAAGATGAGGATGATGATGATGAAGAGGAATCTAATGAAGAAGAAAGTGTTGACAGTGGAGCAGAGTCTGGGCCCGGCTTGGCACATTCCAGTGATGAGTCTGAGAAGAAAGTGGAAAAACAAAAACCAAAAGTTAAAGCCCAGAAGCCAAAGCAAGACAAACAGAAAGGAACTAAGAACAGTGTTGAAGAGTTAACAGATAAGATCAGGGAGACTAGTGTTAACATTAGGCCAGTAGAACAAAAAGGTAAATAATCATTCTTTTATACTATAAAAAAAATCTGTCTGCTCCTCCTTATAAATATATTTCTTCTGATATTTAATTTTACATGAAGTCACAACCAGAGACTATTCAACACTCATTTTTCCTTTACAACTTGTTTGAGCCAGTACAACAACAATCAGCAATGCAACATTACTAGTCCGGTTGCCGAGCAGATGACTGTGCGACGGGCGGCCGCAGTGAGTGTGCGATAGCAATAGAATTACGCGCGAGTGATAAGGATGGGTAGCTTGGGTATCACTGGTGCATCTGCATGACAAGAACAGTCATGATATGGAGGGGGATTGGATCCTGGGAGGCACTAGACCTTAGCTCCAAATGTATACCCAACTTAATTTATTATGGGGGGGGGGAATAGCTGGGTGCCAAGCCAACCCATGCTAAAGTCAAAGTCAAAGTCAAAATTTCTTTATTTGTTTGGACTAATAAATAGTTCTTACAAATCGTCATTTTGCTCTTAAGGAGCCTCTACATGTCTCATAATCTTTTTACCCTACCAGCGCTTCGAGACCAACATTTGGCAAGTGCTGAGAAGAAGCGCCGCAACAAACTCAGTCACCACTGTCTGCCGGTTAATATAAATAAATAGAAATAGTAGTAGTAGGTACATTCGATTCAGGAGCAGTTCACTGAATTTACCATGCATTCTTGTATGGTGTATCTTATAAGAATGGGTATACAAGATTGCGTGGTATATTAAACAAGGTAGTGACGTGCTAATTTCTAGACTTACATATTAAGATACTAGTAGAAATGACTCGCATACATAAATTTGAATAACTTGGATTGACCAGTCCCCGAAAGCAGCGCCTGTTCACAGACATGACGAGTGAACCAGCCATCGCTTCACTCGACCATATTAGAGGGAATGTAACTACGACGCCACTGGGCGACCGGACTGACAGGCCAATCTTATTCCAGACGAGTACGAGTCGGGCGACACGTCGGACGAGGAGGAGCGGCGCAACACGGTGGGCGACATCCCGATGTGGTGGTACAACGAGTACCCGCACGTCGGCTACGACCTCGACGGCCGCCGCATCATGCGCCCGCCGCAGCGCGACCAGATCGACGAGTTCCTCAAGTGAGCACATTACTAACATGACAGACGAGCATGAGTCGGCGACAACGGCCTGAAAATCAGGATTGCCTGGATCTCTCCTCACGACAAAAGCTGTCATGTCTGATGTCTGCCTTTTTCGTAATACAGTAGAATCCCGATTATCCGGATCATTAAAACCAGGGGTGTTCCGGTTAATCGAAAATCCGGATAATCGATTTCAAAGTAAAATCAAACAATAATTAACTTTTAACAGTAGAAAGGGTTTTCAATACATCATTTTAAAGTCTAAAAATCTAAATTTTAGACCATTGGTCATCCATTTAACAATGAACTAAGAAGACGTCCGTACTATGTTACGGTGGCGGCGCCTTCGGTTTTTATGGGTCCAGACCCGGAATCGGTAATTAGAAACTGTGAAGAATGAGTCCGGATAATCGAAGTCCGATATAATCGAGATTCTACTGTACGTAATACGTAATTTGAAGACTTCTTTCTGACTTTAATGTCGTGTTGTGCAGGAAATGCGAAGACCCCGACTTCTGGCGCACAGTGCGCGACCCGCAGACGGGGCAGGACGTGCGGCTGAGCAAGGAGGACCTGGAGCTCATCCAGCGCATCCGCGCCGGCCACGTGCCCGACCCCAACCACGACGAGTACCAGGTATACACAGTGTACTTTTGATTGTCTCTTGAAACTGATAACTGTATAATTTTTATTCATTGTCTGACCATTTAGTCTCAACTGCAGGAGAATGATCCTCTCTTATTTAAGGAGAGGCCTGATATTCGCATCTTTTTCTCTTAGTCGCGTCTTACGACATCCACGGGAAAGTCGAAGGTGGTCCTATTCTACTTTCCCGGAACTACACGCCTCTTCTTCGTATCTTAGAGTTATATTTTTTTACTTACTAAAAATCTTGTTAGGTTAGGTTAGGTTATTTAACTAACACTTTGTTAGATCCCTCTCACATTTTTCAACGAGATACGCTGCCGTCACTTGACGTGAAAAGCGATGAATGTGAATGAAGACATGCTAAAGCCTGGTCCGTGAGCACGTGGGACGCGCGCCCGCAGTGAGTGTGCGAGCGCGACAGCAACATAATTACGTGCGAGCGACAAGGATGGGCAGCTTGGGGTCATTGGACGGGATTCTACGTGCTCACGGACCAGGCTTTAATCGTATCTTTAGGGTGTCGGAAGCTAGCCTTCAGGATCAATATGATTGTCCCCAGCCGTGGGTGGAGTGGTTCAGCCGCGAGGTATTAGCGACGCCGCTGCGCGCGTTCCCCGAGCACAAGCGCTCGTTCCTGCCGTCGCGCTCGGAGCAGCTGCAGGTGGCCAAGATCGTGCACGCGCTCAAGATGGGCTGGACCAAGACGCGCAAGCAGATCGCCGACGAGAGGAGGAAGAAGCGGGTGAGTGTAGTATAAGTTAGCTGCTATCGCGTGGTATTCAATGAGGGTTTTCGCGTATGAAAGATCCGCTAGATGGCGGGACGTGGATGTGGGGTCTGACTGCTGCGCGATTGGTGGACACATATCTGTCAATGTCATGTCAAAAATAACCAAACATGCAGCATTTGGACCTTGCGTCTACGTATTGCCATCTGGCGAATTTTTCATACTCGAAAACTCTCATTGGGAAGAACAAAAGAATAACAGAGATTTTCGGCCTGCTTCGGACACGCGCGATATCCGTGCTGTTTCTGGGTGATTCGCATATCACAATCACAATTTCCGCTTCAGTGCCCCAGTGAAGCGCAAATCGTGCGATTACGATTCGATGCAAATGTATGACAACTCAGAACTGTCCAGCAACCGATGTCAAATCAAATCAAAACATTTCTTTCACACACTAACACAAATGATTACACTGGCCTACAGCCATTTTGGTGCCGGGGATCTAAGACCTGATTTTAAGTATGTCCAGCATGGCGTTATCAAAAATGTAATCAGTTTTTCTCTATCAGCTCTAGTTCCCGAGATAACTAAAAAACAATTTTTACAATAAATATATATTTTTATTAGCATTAAACATCAAGAAATTGTCTTTTGAGTGATTTTTTCGAATGAAACTTACTTGGGCAATCTCGCATGATTCTCCAACAGTAGTCGGTCATCATATGAGCGTCCCATCTTCCTTGGTAACTATTCTCCATTGTTTTTATGTCTTGGTGAAAACGTTTTCCTTGTTCTTCGCTTAGTTCTCCTAAATTTTGTTGGAATTGATCTAGTTTACTGTTAAAATAGTGTAATTTTATACCTATATAACAGCCTAAATCTTTGAATTGAACCAGCACATCCTATACTAATTCTACATAGTTTTCAGCCTTATGCTTTCCGAGGAAATTTTGTACAACTGCTACAAAAGATTTCCACGCAAACCATTCCACATCGTTCATAGAAATCTTAAATTTAGTGCACACACACACACACACACACACACACACACACACATTACACCCACTACCTCAGTTACTTTTTGTTTAGTTTTGTTTAGTCTAAGTAAAAAAAAATATTATTCTAGTTATCTTAAAGAGTTTAATAATTGTTAATTGCCATGTACCGTGTGTCCTCACTATATTTTATCAACATTGTTAACCTGTGTTACTTAAGGCTGCCGCGACACAAGCACAGCTTAGTGTAGCAGCCGCTAGATAAACACTGTAATTCTTTTGTTGGCAAATATAATTAACTTTTAAAAAAAATAAAACCGACTTCAAATGCGTGAACACAAAAAAAACTAAAAATTAAAAATATTGCGTATAAAAAAGTTCATCCCCAATTTTCCACCCTTGGGGGTGAAATATTTTCTTCAAATTCGCATGAAACCACCCTTTTGATATTTACCTATTTAACAAAAAAATAATTGTTCAAATTGATTTATAATCGGCGGAGATATTGCGTATAAAAAAGTTCATCCCCAATTTTCCACCCTTGGGGGTTGTTTTTTCTATTATTAAATTTAAATGGGACCACCCTTGAGGTATTACCTATACGCCGAAAAAAGATTTGTTCAAATCGGTTCATAATTGGCGGAGTTATCGCGTAACAAACATAGAAAAAAAAAACATACGGGTCGAATTGAGAACCTCCTCCTTTTTTGAAGTCGGTTGAAAATACTTTTTACTTTACTTTAAAAAATCAAAATCAAAAATATTTATTCAGTTTAGACCACAAGTGGCACTTATGAACGTCCAATAAAAAAAAAACAAACAATATAAAGAAAAGGTAGCCCTTAAAGGTAGCCCGTGTGTGGGACTCGCCGCCAGGGCCGGAGGGCGGGGCCTACCCACTGAAACCCACCGGTGTATCATCGGAGCCCAATGAAACGGAGCCGCGAGTTATTATCCTAGCTTAGGGATTCATCTGCAGCTCCGTCTCAGGCCATTCTGGCTTCAAGGGGATCCTCAATCCCCTCCTCCAGTTGTTTTCTCCTCATTGTCATGGGCCATGATAAAACCGTATCGGGTTACGTTACGGTATACTCTATACCACTTGCACTGTGCAATCAGACCTACCGCGCTGTGGTTTTTGTCTGCGCCAGAAAATCGGTACCCTCCGTGACTGGGGGGCGTTCCCCTATCCGCAACACCTCTGATGGTAGACCCAAAAGTGCACACGTTTTCTAGCCATATAACGATCTTATAATAACTTATTTTCTGCAGCCTCTAACTGTAGCCTATTGTCGCAGATGAAAGAGTGGAACAAGCTGAGCGAGACGCCGTGGAAGCGCAAGTACACGTTCCTGCCGCAGAAGTTCGCTTCGCTGCGCGCCGTGCCCGCCTACGAGCGCTTCATCCGCGAGCGCTTCCTGCGCTGCCTCGACCTCTACCTCGCGCCTCGAGCCATCAAGATGAGGGTACGTGCACAAACTCAATAGTATTAAATACATTTATTTAAACTTAATTGGTTTATGTGCTGTTTTACTGCACCTAAGTTAAATTACATTGTAACTGTATGTTTCCCAAAAAATAAATAAATAAATAGTACCAGTTTGATGTACGATAGTCAGCTTTATGGGGGTCAAGGATTATTCCTTGATTGTACTCCGTTAGAGTGGCGTGACGTCACATGCTGACCCGTTGGCTAGCGTGAAATTATCTTGCAAGCTCAATTTCAAGGCCCTAGAATTTCTCTATTTGTAGAGATATTTTAATGATTCCTTCACACTTATGTTTAATTTGCTTATATTTTCAAATTGTATTAATAAAAAATATTGAAAACTTCTCCATTGTTGTTAGCCACGCCTCCCAGTGAATTAGGCGTGGCCAAAACACGCTACATTTATATCTAAATAACAAATACAAAACCATAAAAATGATTGACTTCCAATGACCTTACAGAAACTTCAAAGAAGAGAATGAGAAAGATCTCTTTGCCCAAGATATCATCAAAAGTCAAAATAATCTATCCTCCTATTTCCTAATCACCAGACACACCACCTTCCTATCTGTTAGACCAGTGGTTCTTAACCTTTAAGTCACGAGGGGCCATTTTTACCAATTCCTGTCTCGTCAGGGACCACTTTTTTTTTCAAAGTCCTATGAAAGGGAAGGTCGATTTCTCGCCCACTGTGCGCCATTTGCGTTGTGTTAACTGGACTCAACACGTCACGCCACTTGTTCATTACGAGGTCTTCGTGGACCACTTGGAATGCCTCCAGGGACCACCAGTGGTCCACAGACCACCGGTTAAGAACCACTGTGTTAGACGATAATGTAGCGTAATCTACCTACTTCCCTCCAGCTAACGATCAGCCCCGAGGACTTAGTGCCGAAGCTGCCGTCGCCGCGCGACCTGCAGCCCTTCCCCACGCAAGAAGTGCTGTGCCTCACCGGACACGAGGGCGCCGTCCGGAGCGCGGACTTCGACCCCTCCGGACAGTACATCGTGTCCGGATCCGACGACGGCACGGTTAAAGGTATGGAGATGCTTATTGTAATGCTACGGATACTAAGATTTTTGTGCGATTTTTTTAGATTTAGACTTCCAGTAAATGTCTAGTTTAGAGTGAAATCTGCTCAGTGGAGTCAAACTTTAGTCTTCTTCTGAAGATTAGCCTTCTAAATTACATACCACTGAGCCCAAATCCTCGCCTATTGTCTTCTTGTCTTTACTAATCAACTGCGTTACACTGCGTAGTCTGTCCATTAACATAATGAAACCTTTCATGCTACGTAACAAACAAATGTCGTTACGACGACGAGGGCTCTACTCCGTAGTTTACCTCCGCTCCACTTTTGCCAACATTTATCCTCCTCACCTCATTTATTGATGTCTAACATCTCAAATATTTTCTTATTGTAATCCTTGAATAATTCTTACGGAATTTCGGAGTTATTTTATCAAATAAATTGTAGGGTTTTGGTTGTTTTTTTTTTACCGTCACACCAGGCACAGACGCACCCGCTGAAAACCAGTGTCGAGACGCGTACACGCGCGTTTCGATTAATACTTAGCGGGGGCCTTTATGGCACGAGATTTATGTATTATTTAATGTAATGTTGTGTGTTTAATGTTTTTTTTTTGTGTTTTCTCTTCTTTTATTTGTTCATTTTCATTTGTGTTTTCGTGTCAAATAAAGGTTTTTCTACTCTATTCTATTCAGTGTGGGAGACGAGCACGGGTCGTTGCTTGCGAAGCATCCGCCTAGGCGAGGGTGTGACGCGCGTGTGCTGGGGGCCCGCGCCCGGCCTCAGCCTCGTGGCCGCCGCCGTCGGCAACCGGCTGCTGCTGCTCAACCCGGGAGCAGACATCGGAGCACACAGAGTGGCGGAGAGAACCGACCGTTTGTTGGATGAGCCGCCGCCGGCGCACGACATCGCCAGTGAGTGTTCTTAATTTGCTATTATGACGTCACATCATAGTTCGTTCTTGACTTACTTGACTTATGGTCCTATGTCCCCTAGATGGGGCAGAGGGCGTCCACAACAGTCCTCCATCTCGTTCGGTCATAGTTCGTTCGTTTCAGTCAAATGACGTAAACTGCTGGACAAAGGCCTCCCCCAAGGTTTTCCATAATGAACGGTCCTGCGCTGCCCGCATCGAGGCTCTTCTCGCGACCTTTACTAGATCGTCGGTCCACCTAGTAGGAGGCCTGCCCACGCTACGTCTTCCAGCCCGTGGTCGCCACTCGAGAACTTTCCTGCCTGCCTACATGATAGTACCGATCATCGACTACCGATCCACTGGAGTCTTTGGTGTTTGTCTTATCACATGCCAGTGCGAAATTATTATTGCTCGAAATAGTATTCTAACACAAAAGACAGACAATTTTTTATTTCACAGTTTTCTGAAGAACGCTATCCTTAGTGATTTTATGTACCGCAATAGACAGATAGCATAGCTTCCATTCATCATGACGTCATACCGCCATATCCGCCATCTACTACAGTTACGTTACGTCACGTTACTAACGAAAGTATTCCGCCCGCAGTGGACGAGCGCACGAAGTCGTGCGTGACGTGGGACCGCGTGAAGCCCGAGGAGTGGGCCATCGGCGTGCGCATCGCCGTCACACACTTCAAACCCGTCATACACGTAAGTTTTGGCACTACCATTTCTTGACCAATTTAAAGGCTTTCGACTCTCGATCGCGACACATGACGATGGAGTCAGAGCCAGTCTTTGTTTCTCTTCTAATTATAGATCATTTCATCCATGAAGACCCGCCCTACGATTCTTCCGCCAATGTTTGAGTGTTATCGGTACACGCTAAATTATATTATCAACTAGCTTTCCGCCCGCGGCTTCGCCCGCGTGGAATTTTGTCTGTCACAGAAAAACTTTATCGCGCGCGTCCCTGTTTCAAAAACCGGGATAAAAACTATCCTATGTGCTTTTTTAAAGCCTACTTACAGAAATAAATGAGTTTTACTGAGTTTTTAGTTTTACTTGTGTATTTGTCGTAATGTTTCGTTCTCCCGCCAAAATATGTCAAAGTCAAACCCTTGTCCCTTGCTATTCCAAATGACCATGACATTGGGTTTGTTTACATTTGGTATCGCTTCTCGTTGGCCGTACCACAGAATAATAATAAGTACTACGTACAGAAGTTTTACTTCGCGAAGGTATTTAAAAAAATGTATGCTCAATGTCATTAACAATATGGTGTAATTTAGCCTGTCTCAAGAGTCAAGCACCGTTTTGTTGACAAACGTCAGTGATCGGCACTGCCCCGAAGCTATAGGGCTGACTTCGGTAAAATGATGTGACGTAAGGTGCCAAACTGAGGAAAATGGCGGAAGAAACACATGATTTACCATGAATTATCATGAATAATATTAACTACTTATTTACCTCTCAGTGTCTTGAGGCAACTTAAAAAAGTACATTCTGTGTTTTTATTATTATTATTTAGGCAGTTAAATACTGCACAGTATTTTAGTACACCATTTGCTTTATTTTCTTCCATCATACACAAGAATACGCGTGCGTGAGTCAATGTTCGCTCGTATGCGAGGCCTTGTCGAATAGTATCCTGTAGGTGGGCCATCGTGCGTGTTTTGTTTTCGATGTAAACTCGCGGAGATGGACAGGCCCGGCCGTACTTGAATGTGACCGTCGTTCCGCAGGTGGCGTGGCACGGGCGCGGCGACTACGTGTGCTGCACGGTGCGGGACGGCGCGTCGCGCGCGGTGAGCGTGCACCAGGTGTCGCGGCGCCGCAGCCAGCTGCCCTTCCGCCGCAGCAAGGGGCTCGTGCAGTGCGCGCTCTTCCACCCCACCAAGCCGCTGCTCTTCGTGGCCGTACGTGTGACTTTTTTTTCATGTGACAGGAGACAAACGAGCAGACGGATCACCTGATGGTTGTGATTACCGTCGCCCATAGACACCCGCAGACCCAGGGGCGTTACAGGTGCGTTGCCGGCCTTAAAGGTGAAGATACGCTCTCCTCTTGCAAGCTTGCAGGTCTTATCCGTCCGGAAACACCGCAGACGACAGTCCATTCCAGTTTGGTTGTACGGGGCAGAAAGTTTCTAGAGAAACGTACTGTTGTGGACTGCCAACCATCTAAGTGATGTCACTATCGATAGTACCCCGAAAAACATTCACCCATCCCAGACGAGTGGCGAAACGTGAAAGTTGTAATTTCAAAATCCATTAGCTCCGGTGTTTTCCTACTAATATTATAAATGCGAAAGTTTGGATGTCTGAATGTTTGTTACTCTTTCAGGCAAAAACTGCTGAACGGATGTTGATGAAACTTTACAGTATTATTGTTTATAACCCAGAATAACATATAGGCTATAATTTATGACGATCTGTGACAAACTAAATTTCATGCGGGTGAAACCGCGGGCAAAAGCTATACCATAAAGTTACTTCGCTCGATTCAGCCTTTGTCCAGCAGTGGACGTCATTTCGCTGAAACGAACTTCGCTCTTCGAAGGGATTTCAAAATTACGACTGTCAACATTCAGCCACTTGTAGAAGGGAGCGGGATAACGATACTGCTATCGATACTATTGTTTTTGGCTGCTTTTTTTTAAATCGATAAGCAACACTAACAGAGTAAATACAAATGATTAGGTCATCTTAATAGAAACGCACCGAGCGCGGTTTGTATGTGAGCGCGCCAATACGTATGCGGCGCGCACGTACACACTGACAAAATTTAGCGTGGATTAGCGGGGAGTTGCAGTGTGTGCGTGCGTACGCGCCGCATACGTATTGGCGCGCTCACATACAAACCGCTCTCAGTGCTCAGTCACTCTGACATTATCCCGCGGCGTTCGCCGGTGCCGTTGGCCGCACTAGCTACAAACAATGCCATATCTGTCGTGGTTGCTGCCCTACATGACACGTGTCGTGGTTGCAGACGCAGCGAGCGGTGCGCGTGTACGACCTGGTGAAGCAGGAGCTGGTGCGCAAGCTGCTGACGGGCGCGCAGTGGGTCAGCACGCTGGCCGTGCACCCCAAGGGCGACAACCTGCTCGTCGCCTCCTACGACCGCAAGTGCATGTGGTGAGTCACCTTGTGAAGCAGGAGCTGGTGCGCAAGCTGCTGACGGGCGCGCAGTGGGTCAGCACGCTGGCCGTGCACCCCAAGGGCGACAACCTGCTCGTCGCCTCCTACGACCGCAAGTGCATGTGGTGAGTCTTGCCCATATATGCTTTTGCATTAGGAGACATTATGCATTGTAACATTGTACAGGTCGCGTCATTTAAAAAGAGCGCTGGTGGTCAAGCTGCGCATTAAGCGATTTATCGGTCGATTTGGTGGTATGAGGTGCGGCGCGGGGCGGGCGGGTCTCGCTTCGCATGCATGCCGGTGCGCTATTGGTTCGTCAGTCGACCTTTGATTTCGGCGCTGTGTCCACGTCACAATCGTTCTCAAAATACCATCGTGCACAAAAGTTTTTGATTACGAAATGGTTTTACACAGAAAAGTGAGAAAAATGATTTACGACGTATATTGTTTTATGAAGAGAGAGGCTGATAATAAAGCAGTTGATAATTTAAAACAATGCATGAAACGGACCGCAGAGGCAACAAAATGTTCCGTGATTACAGTGAGACGAATTGTAAAAGAATGAAAATCTTCAGAATTTCTTACTGTCTTTCGAACTCCCGGCAAAAATAAAAGAAACAAACAAAAACCAATAACAGGCATTGATAGCTTTGATCAGGGTGTTATAAAAAGAATCATCCATAATTTCCACATCTCTGAAAAAGAATTGCCTACCATAGGCAAGTTGCGAAGGAAGTTACAGGATGACCTACATTTTCAAGGATCTGCAGCAAGTCTCAGGCGAATAATAAAAAATTTGGGGTTTAAATGGAAAGCAACAGAAACGAATAGGAAAATTTTAATTGAGCAGTCACAAATTCGATTTCAAAGAATTGAATATCTGAGAAAGATAAAAAAATATAGAGAGGAAGGAAGACCTATCATTTACACTGATGAATCTTATGTCGACAGTTCCCATGCATCTCACCATTCTTGGACAGACGGTCCCACCAAAGGCATTAAAAAACCAATATCTAAAGGTAGCCGATTGGTCATAGTGCACGCGGGTGGTGAAGCAGGTTTTGTGCCGAATGCTTTGCTGACATTCAAAGCCGGTACAAAAAGCGGCGACTACCACGACAACATGAATTCAGAGAATTACGAGCGATGGCTCCGTACTAAACTGATGCCGAATTTACCGCCTAATTCAGTCGTGGTAGTCGACAATGCATCGTACCACAACAAACAACTTGATGCTGCACCAGCGTCCAATACAAAGAAAGCAGATATGCAAACCTGGCTCAGTCAAAAAGGAATTGAATATGAAGAATCCATGTTAAAGCCGGAGTTGTACAACTTAATAAAGAAATATAAAGAGCAATTTAAGAAATTTAGTATTGATGAGATATTGAACGAAGCAGGCCATTCTGTACTTCGTTTGCCCCCATATCATCCGGACTTAAATCCAATTGAAATGGCCTGGTCCCAAATAAAGGGATATGTCGCCAGCAAAAATGTAAGTTGGAACCTTACAGGGATAACTGACCTGGTTAACGAAAAAGTACATTTAATGGGCGCAACAGAATGGGGGAAATTATGCACAAAAGTAAAGGAAATCGAGGCCGACTATTCTAAAAGCGATCATGTGGTCGACATCATGACAGAAACATTTATTATTCGCGTAGGGGATGATGATTCTGACTCAAATAATGATGAAAGTTTAAGTGATGATAGCGACGACGATGAAATGGCCACCTCTAGCACCAACACCGCGTCCTCATCTGGTTTTCACGTCACCCACAACGACTTAATGGAAGGAGTTTCAATATTACCATTTGATTAAACATTCTACACTGAATGAAACATCTTTTTGTTGATATTCTTTTGAGGTTTTATTTTTTATAACTTGTAATCTATTGTCCCTACCTGCATTCTTGTGAAATAAATACATTTTTTATTTTTATTTTTTTATTTTATAAATAACTAGCTTTCCGCCAGCGGCTTCGCCCGCGTGGATTTTTGTCTGTCACAGAAAAACTTTATCGCGCGCGTCCCTGTTTCAAAAACCGGGATAAAAACGATCCTATGTTCTTTCCCGGGACTCAAACTATCTCTATGCCAAATTTCATCAAAATCGGTTGCGAGGTTTAAGCGGGAAAGCGTAACAGACAGACAGACAGACAGAGTTACTTTCGCATTTATAATATTAGTTGGGATTCATTTTAATGTACCTACTAAACCAACCAATATGCAAAGCCACGAGCGAAAGTCTGGTTTAAAAATAAAACAATAGGCCTAGTACGTATTTTCGTGCGCGAGTGTACCCATGCGCAAACACGCCCCCTCCACTTTCTTCCAGCGCTCTTTTTACATGACGCGGCCTGTACCCCGTGTAACATTGTGCCCCACCTTACCCTACTGTTTACCCACTGCTAGGAAATTTTTATCACGCTGTTTTTTTAAAGATAGGTACGAGGTCAGGACAACGTCTCTCGCTCAAAGTTGCGTTTGAACGCACAATTTAGTAGAAGGGCGCCACACGCCCGGCTTGTAAAGTCCGGTCGCCGAGCAAATAGAATTTAGTACAATGACCCCAAGCTACTCATCCTTATCGCACGCGCGTAATTATATTTCTGTCGCGCTCGCACACTCACTGTGGAAATTCTATCTGCTCGGCAACCGGACTTTAGTCGCGCGGGACGTACCTACAACCGACACCGATAACCAAAAAGTTTAGTAAATAGAGCGTTGGATTTATCGTTTTATGAGGAAGTGATGTATCTGTGACGAAATATACACGAGCATCAAATTGGGTGAATAATAGATTTAAGTTACTGTCGTGTTAGGGTCCTAACGATTATTAGTAAAAATGAAATAGCGGACTGTATAAAAAATAGGTTGCTGTAATTCTCGCCAGCCTAATTACAATAAATTATGAGAGTACGCGGTATTCGTGCGACGACGGTGGTGTCCAAAGGCGAGTGTGTGACCCGAGCGCAGCCGATGATGACGCTGTCGGCCCGAGGTGACGTTAGTCATCGTACGCCGCCCGCACGTCTCCTCCCGCGCGTTGTTGGGTTCCCAACAGTCGAATTTTAAAACGTGTGCCTTCCCGCAGGTTCGACCTGGAGCTGTCGTCGAAGCCGTACCAGACGCTGCGGCTGCACGGCAAGGCGGTGCGCGCGGCGGCGTTCCACGCGCGCTACCCGCTGTTCGCCACGGCCGGCGACGACCCCTACATCGTCGTGTCGCACGGCATGGTCTACAAGTGAGCGCCTACACTGAACAATGAGCGCTATCGCTTTTATACTTAACAGTTGGCACCCCTGGCGATTGACAGGACCTTACTCTACAGTGGCGCCATCTTGATGAGTGCAAATGCGATAGTCCTCCTACCACTTTAGCGCTCACAAGTTGGCGCCACTGTCTTCGCTACTGGCAAGTGACAGGACCTTACTCTACAGTGGAACCAACTGGTGAGCGCTAAAACGATAGCCCTCATTGACTCCACTCTGCCTTGCAGCCTAAACGGGCTGCTTGCCTTCTGGGGGGATCTGGGGTGGTTGGAGTAGGAAGATAAACCACAAATCGCGCACAATGGCCCAATCTCATGATTTTTGCAGGGCAATCGAATACCGCACTTAGCCTCATGGCTAAGTGCGGTATTCGATTGCCCTGCAAAACTAACTAACTCCACTCTGCCTTTTCTGATAATTATAGCAAAATAAAATTCGCTTCCCTATTAAGCAATGTAGTTAAGCGAGAAATTATAGAGCGACACTATAACATGTATGTTAATTAGAGCATTATTTTGTAGTTTTACTGTTAGGTATTTCCCACACTTGTATCTTGAGCGTCGTCGTCTCGTCCGTCACCTTTTGCGTAGCGGTAACGCAGAAAGACGCTAGTGTGAGGGAGGCCTTCTTTACAGTTGTAAACCAGCGCTTAAAACAGCAGAATAGTGATGTTACCTGATCTGATCATCTTAACCCACCACCACCCATGGTTCTTCCTGCCTCACGGCGTACGAACCGAATCTCGGGAGAGCGCGCGGGTACTTGCTCTGGGCTCTTTTCCCCGGGCGCTTTGCTTGACTCCCTACAAATTTATCTGATCCATGTCCCTTTTCATAGTCAATTCTCCCCCTTCTGGGGCTTGACACCACAAATACGGTACTTCGCGTCGGGCTGCTATCGTTGATAAATGTCATCACTTCTTCTCATAATTTCGCCTGATTGTGTGCCAGAAGTGCGCGAACTCGCGCAGCGAGATCTAGTTACTGCGATCGTGAGGTCCTGGTGATAAACAGGTCCTTGCTCGGCTCTCCGTATCGCATCCAGCATTTTCTGTCGAGCTTCGTCATAGAGGTTACATTCCCAAAGTGCGTGATCGCGGCTCTTTTCGACTCCCTCGCCGCATGGGCATAGTGCAGACTCGCACAGCGTCATTCTGTGTAGGTGCTGCCTGAATCACCCGTGCCCAGTTAACAATTCGGAAACCACGTAATCAGGTTCAACCCAGCCGAGTCGAGATGTTACCTGGCCAGCAGAAATGTAATGTGACGTTGTTTCCAGCGACCTGCTGCAGAACCCGCTGCTGGTGCCGCTGAAGCAGCTGGGCAGCGGCGCGGCGGCCGACGCGCTGCACACGCTCGACGTGCGCTTCCACCCCGCGCAGCCCTGGCTGTTGGCCGCCTGCGCCGACCGCACGCTGCGCCTCTACTCCTAGCCCAGAACAATAAATATATCTAACTAAATATAACTGGCTCGTTTTATTCGTATTCCTAAAATTATGTGCATACAGTCAGAGTGAATACAAATGAGTAGGTCATCTTCATAGAAACGCACCGAGCGCGCCAATATACGCATGCGGCGCGCCCGCACACACTGACAAAATTTAGCGGGGAGCACAAAAGATCCCAATGGGTCGACGTGCAATGCGCCCATGCGCGGCCCTAAAATAAGATAGCGGGGAGCCAGTCGTGGTTGCGCGAGTGGGGAAGATGACCTACTCATTTGTATTTACTCTGATACAGTCGCACGCCATATGATGTGCCGCCATGTCCGTGAAAATTACAATTTTATTTATCGTAGAGTAGTGTAGGGCGTGGCTTCACCTTTTCCTCTCAATTTAGAAATAAATACAAACTTCAAATCTTTCCCATGCCAAAGGGTCACCCTATCGCAATTTTATATAATTTTGTTCTAAAAATTCATGGTTAAGCTAAGAAAATATACCGGGTATACTAGACACAATATTCATATAAAATAACTGTTCGTTCGAAATGTTTATTGGGAAAATAATTATTTATAAATAATTAAATAACTTCTATTTTATGACTAATACAGAGATGGTAAAAAATTAAAGACGAGCTTATGAATAACACGATTGTTACAGTTTACAGAACATAACCACAAATAATATAAATACATAACTTACCTTACCTTATGTTAGATTTTAATAAGTTACGAACATGTTACATACGAAGCTCTCAGTCGCTGTATAGATGGTAATTGGAATTGTAACTTCCCAATAATCATCTTTTAGAAATTTAATTAAAGTTGGAGTTGGAAGGTAATAAAATTTTTGTTTCAGTTATTTTTTTCTTAAATTCATATTCCAATAATGATTAGGATATAAGCTAATATACCCACCGAAAATTTCAAAAAGTTGCATTGCAAAAAAAAAATTGACGTTTGCAGCACACCGTGAAACGAAACGTAAAAGCTAACTGTCAAAAGTCCTCCCGTCAAAACAAAGCTTCTCGAGTTCGCTTTCGTCGTCTGGCATTATTTCGCTGTGGTGGCTTGTTGGGTGCTCAATGCTCATTCGCGTCGGCCTACGGACTGTTTTCACACAATAAACTCTATTCGACCGTTGGAACTATTTACGGAACTTTTTATCAATGAAATTGAGTTCGACCAGTGGTGTCGGTTAATATATTGTTAAGATTATTAAATACAACGTCGAGCGTCGTTATTTTTGTGCATCGATTCATAACGTACGGACATATCGAGTGCTATATTTGAATTTGTAAGAGTTAGTGGTGGACCGATGAACGTTGGCCGCGGCTCGCGCGTGTCGGCGGAGCGGGGCTGCTAGGGCGAGGGCGCCATGTCGGGGGCCGCGACGCCGACGGCGCCGGAGCCGCCGGCGCTGGACGAGCGCGACGTGGAGCCGCGCACGCCGATGAAGCGCCTCGGCTCCACGAGGAAGCTGGCCGCCTTCAGCAGTAAGTCACTCACGTCACTAAGAACTTAGCGTAAACTGCGATTAAGGAATTTAAAATGCCAAAGAATAATATAACATTAAGCCACTGCACTCACGGAAACTGAAAAGCGTACTCATAATGACTTTTAAGGAGGTACTGTGTTGATAGATTACGAAGCAATAGCCAGCTAACTATAAGTTGGTCTTTTAATGATAAAGTTACTCTAGCATATTCTGGGATAATTTTAATTAAAGGTTACTCTTCTATCACAATCCTTTAAAGTAGTTTAAAGTTAAAGTTAGTGTCACTGAAGGTCTCACTATCACCGGGTATCAAACTTTTCAGTATAAATCCCATCCCATAAAAAAGCTATTATTCTTTTATTATTATTCTTGCTTTTAAACTGTGATCAGCCTTATTATTATATTTTATAAAAAGTACTAAAGAAAACTTTTTAGAATCATTAATAATTAATATTAATTAAATAAATGAAGCCAAACCAGGAACCAGTAGCAATGTTTAAAATGCCCTCTACATTAAAATAGTGAACTTACTTATTTTTTTTATAATTTCAATTTAGAGTAATTTGAACAAAATTTCCATTAATTTCATGAACATGTTATCAATTTGTTGTAAAATATTTTATTCTATTCAGTTTTAAGGTTTGGGCTAGATAACTAACTAGTTTTAATAATGTGCAGTTCTTGTTCTACTCTACTTTGTGAAATTTTACATTAATGCTTATTATCTTTGCCACATGAAGCAATAAACATGAATGATGAGAAAAGTTTGCCTAATTACCTAAGTAATTAAGCAATGATATCATAAAACTGTTGTGTAACTTGCACTTGGTGTTGTAAGTTTGGTTTGTTTAAAATTGTTGGAAATATGAAAGTGTGATGAAAAATATGGTTCTGTACAAATATTATTCAATGAATCAAACATGTATTTATATTGAGTATAACATTTTGATATTATGTTTTATGTTTCTTTGCTCCTCAGGCAGGAACAAGTTTTGACCAATGTAATATGTTGTTGTACCAAAACAACACAAATAGTCCATCCAGATGTATAATTTAAAATATTAAGAATTTTGCATTGAATCATAATGTATTTCAAACTAAGAAAACACACTCAAACACTGCAAGCAAAACATAACAATCCAACAACATAGAGCTGGTATCTAGACCCTCACACAATCTTAATCAATAATCATTAGCTCCATCCTCTAATAGGTACCCACCTCCCACTATACCCTGAATTTATATTGGTTTTAGTTAATTCACTGACATTAGTAAAGTTCGCAAATGGTTATTATTTTTGTTTTTATTATTAGTGTGCCAAAGTATAAAAACAACTGTGCATAATGTGTCACAAAGAAATGTTTACAAAATTAATTTAACCCTGAGGATTTTTAGTCTCAAAGCAAGTCTAGAATGTATCATGTAGTCTTCATGTTAGGTATGTAGTTACTATATCACTAAAGAAACATAAATGTCAGGATAGACACTTCTGGCAAGTTGTGGGTTTATAAATTGTTATAAGTAGAGCACTTCCCCCAAGGTTTGGTCTGCATGATGTAAACGATGCCCTCACGCGAGCGGCCATTGGCGACTTCCCTGCGGCGCCCACGCCAGCCGCCGGGCATACCTTTGCTGCTATAAACCACTTCTATAGAATCTACTAATATTATTAAGGGCTAAATGTTCTTCCTTGAACTAGTGTTTGGACCAGGTACCTAATCGTAGGCCTTGTGAATTTGGTTATGATGCAATATTTTATGGCTTTATGATATTTTATGAAGGGGTAACGGCGGACCTGCGCGTGGCGTGGTGTTTCCACCGCGTTACTTTTCGCTTAGGGCATTTTACCTTGCATGTGGTATCTTCAGCTTAGTCAGTTCAGTTTAGTTGGGTGTAATCTAGGCGTTTTGAGGCCGAGCATCCTCTAATCATTACCTGGTACTCTGGTCCTTATGGAAATTATACTTTATCCCATAGGTGTTTTCGGGCATTATTTAATTTAATCACTGTAATTATGTTTGCTTTTCTTGTATTTATCTCTAGTTTATATTTGAATGAATCTGATCGCGACTTTCTTCGATAAAATAATCTGGAGAATGTGCTATTCCGAATATTTTTGCGTTAGGGAGTTAATAAACATACATTTATCCATCCATCGCGTCGTTTCCATACAATATCATCCATGTTATCCGTCCTGGAACAATAGTAGGAAAATTGTGTGACTACGCCGACGATCATTTGTGCGCAGTATGAGTGGTATGATCAGCCAGTGACGCATGTGAGTAGTCGGTTCGATTTCCAATTCTCTTAGATTTCTGCCGCGAGGGTAATGATAAATGACTAAAATGACACAACCATGACTCATTCACGGTGGAATGTTTTATTCTGCTTGCAATCTAATTCACCTCAAGCCGTTGTTACATAATACATAAATTACTAAGTACCTACGACCGCAAAATGCCTGCCTTCTCGAAATCTCGAATGCTAATATAGCAGCTCTAAATTTGAATTTAGCGTAATAAATTGTAGGTCTTTGTTCATATTATATACCTACCTACGATAGATAAGTAGATATTTACATTGTTATCAACAAATTCTTTCGTCGCACCCGCGGCATACCGCTCTTTCTACCTATCATGGTTACTTACAAAGTCGCGGAAGGTGCAACACGAAAACTGGAGTATGAAACGGTTTACCAACAGTCCAATAAATAATAACTTACGTTCACCATAATGAGGATCATTTCGATTTTTAGCTGTGAATGCAGATTTATAGGGCTACAGTCCAAAAATTTTTGTTCTACGACAAAAATTGACGAAGTTATGGCCAAATTACTAAAAAAGTTCACTGACCGCCCGGCGCGGGACCGTTGACGTCATTGTATCCGATCCGAACGCTGCCGGCGTACTGCGTGGATAGAAAATATTTTTTTCTAGCCAAACTATCAGTTTGAGAGAAAAACTTGTAATGACATATATTCATCAGAATAAAGTAAGCTATCGATAGGTAATTTAAAAAATAGAAATTGTGAAAAATAACGCAAAAAATCCATACGCTCATACGATTCAATGGAACGCAGAGACGCGATTGGGGTCTCCGCGGTGGTATATTTGGCGATTTATTCAAATAAAGTGTTCATAAGTGTTGTTAGAGTCATATCTTCTTCCAAGTAAAATATAAAAATGTATAAGTATTAATTTATTTACTTCTAACAATAAGGTATAGCTGAGGCAGATACACTCTGCCTAGGCTACAAGACATTTCTATGCAGATCATTTCGATGTACACGCAATACCTACCTGTTATTTAGTTTTTCTGAGTTAAACCTACGTACCTACCTATCTATTCGCCGTTCCCATGGGCGAACCAGCTGCTGCAGGAAAGGACAGCTGCTCCCTCCTGGAAATCTATTTAATCTTAGCCTAGAAGCTGGGTATGACTCCCCTGCCCCCCTCCTCTCCCTAGTTCATAAGCTGGGCATGACTTCCCCCTCGGCCAGAAGTTGGGTATGATTTACCCCCCCCCCCCCCCCCCCAGGCCAGAAACTGGGTATTAGCATCATATTATGTATTATTATGTTCAATACAAACAATCATTAAGTTACACTCACCCCAACCGCGTCTCCGCATTGCATCGAATCCTATGAAAATGTGGTTTTTGGACATAGCGATACTTAATTTTCACAATTTTTATTTTTTTAAATTACTGGTCGATAGGTTACTTTATTTTGATGAATAAATGTTATTAAAAGTTTTTTTCTAAAACTGATGGTTTAGCTGGAAAAAAATATTTTCCATCCCAATAGTACGCCGGCTGCGCTCGATTCGGATATAATGACGTCACGCGGCCCTGCGTACGTTGACTTTTAGCGGCAAAAACGGCCTATGTTTATTACTTAATATCTTCGTAAGTAATGGTCCGATTTGGATAATTCAAAAAGATATATCTTTCTTATGTCTTAAAGATTAACGTAGATACTAGTTTTATTGAATTTTCTACAACAGTACTGATCCTCATTCCTACAATTAGTAAAGGTTTGCACAAGGTTCTCTTGAGCGCCGCACGCGCCCTTAGCCAGACTTATCTTAATTTAAAAATGCTGTTACTGACATTGGAAATGAAGAAGGAAGACAGTAGGAATTGATTGTTCATTCACGGATGAGTAGTAGCGTTTATCCTACTAGGCTAGTACATCACTAACCAATCCACATTGAACTAATCAAATAGCGGAAGGTCGATCACAGACGATGTACAGTTTAGCTTGGTAACAGATATTGGTATGATATAAAACTGGTCCTACATATACCGTTGATTATTGTTCCAACAAGCCGGGTGCGATTATTCTATCAACACAAACAATGAGAAACAGAAATGAGTATTGTGAACGCGTAATATCGGAGTAAGTCGGCCGCAGCTCCGCGTGGTCGCAGGCAACACATGGGGCGCAAATGTTCGTTAATCGGCCACCGATACCACTTCCGGCCACGGTGTTCGTTAACTTAAACACTCGATGTAGGTACCCTACGCACTACCAACATTCATTTTAAATGTTACCAAAATAAACAAATTGTCAATTTCTTGCCCCTGTTCTATTGAAAACTAACTACTAGGATATGCTCTGAAATAAGATTAATCTAAACATTCTGCTCACGTATTCGGTACATCAAAACCGAATAATGCCTTACCACTCCAACTATGGGCGACACACGAAAATTAATTGATAAGTGAGTCACCCTCCGAACAGAAAGGCAACAAAAAAGGTAACCTTAGTGAATGTATTCATGACATGACCATTGAAGTTGCAAATAACCTAATTTCCATAGCAATTTATTATTTTGTTGTCTGCGTACAGTTGAAAATCGCTTTCAGCCGTTTAAATAATTAGTTACTTGCGTTGAAGACAAGAGATTAGTGCTTTAAATTATCCTACAAGTTATTAAGTCGTATGACAGGCGTTTCTTGGTCTTTCAAGATGCGGTTCGCGGGCAACAAGTCAAC